TATGGGCTGGAAAAGGGGAACAACGCGTCTCTTTCTCCTCCGTTGAATGGAAGCTGCTATTCACCAGCAGCGAAGTTAAAACGTAATTTGTTTGATCAATAAACTGGTTGTATTTTTTTCACGGCGTTTTGTTTTGGTTCAACATCAACTTAAAATTCATAATTCCAAGTGTCACTATATCTAGTATAGCATTTCACTGACGAGATGTGTGGTTTGTCTGTGACCTGATGGATTTCATTCTAACTTTTTTGGTCCCGAGCTGCTCGGTGGAGCAGAATACATTGTATTAAACAACGGACATTAGACCAATGAGGTTATAAGGCAAAAAAAGACGCAGTCAGTCTTCCTCTCTCACCAGATACAGATTTGTTATTAATTCGGTTAAAGTGTAACTTTCTGTCCTCCATCCCTTCGCAGGAACCTTCGGCAGCCCCGGGAGGCGCGGGCGGCAGACGTACACGCGCTACCAGACACTCGAGCTGGAGAAGGAGTTCCACTTCAACCGGTACCTCACGCGGCGGCGGCGGATCGAGATCGCGCACGCGCTCTGCCTCACGGAGCGGCAGATCAAGATCTGGTTCCAGAACCGGCGGATGAAGTGGAAGAAGGAGAACAAGCTGATCAACTCATCTTCGTCCTCGTCCTCCTCTTCCTCCACGGTGAACGGCGCGGAGGAAGAAGAGAAACGGACGGAGTGACAGAGGGGAAAAAAGACTGATGGAAGGCACATGAAAGTCGAAGATGGAAGGAAAAGACATGATCCCTTCCCCTTCCCCGACTCGAAGTTCGTCCAGACACGTGTCTGATGTGAAAACTCTGGGAGAAATAAACGTAGCCTGCATATTATATTATTTTATTTTTTACCTCAGCAGGGGTGAAGCACGTGCAAGAAAAGGAAGTTGGGGAAAGAGGATTACTTTTTCTGGGATCGGTGTGGTCTGAAAATTGGCACGTAATTTGTAAAAGACTTGTAGAAAGGACAGATAAGTAAGAAATTAGGAAATACTAGAACTTAAAAGGGAGAGAGGTGGGGCATCCACAGTGTATTTGAAATACAGTAAATAAGTAACCCGCCACCCAACTGTGACAAACTGTGTAAAGACACCGTTTCTTGTTGCATTCCAAGAAAAGCCGCCCGACTTCTTATTGTACTTAGTTGTAATTATCTTCAAAAATATACTTCCTGTCTGTCAGGCACTTGTTTTTGGAAGCTTTAGGACCGCACCGATTATTATTATTGTTATAATTGTTTTTATTTTATTTTGTAAAAGTGTTGTATTATACCTCCAATTAAACGCGCAGACACGTTCATACACGCGCCGATGTGGCAGAGGACGAGCTATTTGAGAAGTGTATATGTCATATGGTGTTCATATTTAAACTGTATATAGAAACAAGCGAGAAGGGAAAGGAGAACCACCTTGCACGGTGAAAATAATGTCATTTTGGGGTTAGGGGTCAGGGGTAATTTAACCTTTCCAGGGGTTTTCCAGTATAGAGGGGGGGGATGTTGACCTACTGATGTTATTCTCCAGACTACCTAAAAAAAACTTCAGGAAAGTGTATATTTTATGGATTTTTACATTGTTTATGTTAGTGTTTTTGTCAAGTAACTACGTATACTACCTATGAGAAATGTTCAATAAAATGTAAAGTATGTATTGGGAGAGATGCTTCTTATTGATCGATTAAAACGTGAACGAATAGCTCCGCGTTGAAAGCGATCATTGACAAGCGGAGACTGTTCTATTTGATGATTTAGTGCGCTGCTTACTCGCGCGCTCGAAGAATCATAAACCTTTGTACCCTCTATACTTAAATCGTGCGCGCGCGAGGCGGGACTCAGGGGGAGGGGGGCGCACGCGGTTGTCCGAATGGGGAAGTGACAAGGAGCGCGAGCTACACTGCTGATGGCGGAGCCGAGCTAATTGATGACCAGACCCAGGGAGAGAAAGTTGACCTGTTCTCGAGGCGACCGGCCAGACACGTCTCACACACACACACACACACACACACACACACACACACACACACACAC